CGTCCTCCCTGTGTGAAAGGTGCTATAGCAAGTGCAAGGATTATTAATAATATGTATTGTTACAACCACACGGGGTTTGTTAAATTAAAAGATTTCTTAATGTTGACCCTTATTTTTGTGTAACGCATATGAACAAGAGGCGCCGTGCTACATGTGGAACATGTGTCAATTATATCCTCCTCTGTACGTGTGTCCGATCACTCACTGCCATGATAAAAGGTTCAGAAAATCCATAGATTATTAACAATTAAAAGCTGGAGCAACCGTGGCTATGGAGCACATGCCTGGGAGTAATTGTGAAGCCAGAACTAAACCCGAGGTGCTCGACAATGAAACCACCTGTTTGCATGATTCACTGTCGCAATAATTGAGTCCAGATACAACAGATGTGGACAAAATAGTCAAGAAATCTTCTCAGTATGACATTGGCTTGCAATGGAGGGGTTAAGCTGGGTCTCTTTCGCACTGACCTGACTCTTGGGCGGAGGACTACAGGACAAGTGGTGCCCGTGGAACAAGGGGAGGCCACATCAGGAGCAGAGCAGCAACATGCCTTTGGGGAGGGGGAAGAGGGGGGAAGTATTTAAGCAATCTGTACTAAGGTAAGGTAAATGCCACTGTTGAATTATTTGTATATACAAACACACACACACACACAAACAAATATGTACACCTGCTCTTTATGTTATCATCTGGGTTAGGAGGGTTTTTATTCACACTTTTTATGTGATGCTGTAAATAGCTCATACATGCAAGGTTAACGTTTAACCTTGTACTTCGGTTTGGACGTGCAGTAGATTTGTGGGCGAAACCCACAGTACATTGTGAGTTTTGGCCACAAAATATACAGTCAATTCGCTTTACAGTATATGCTGTGAAGCACTTTGAGATGTCTCAAAGATGTGATAAGGCGCTATTTCAAATGCAAGGATTATTATATTCAATTTGTGATGAGTGCCAAATTACCAAACTACCAAATACACACTGTTACCTGGTAACAATGATTATGAGAGTCCATTCACAATTTCCACTGTCAAAAACGGAAAGAATATTATTTTCTTTTGCTCTCTGTAATACTTGTGACATGTTTTCATCTTGTTTTTGACAAACCCACAGACTTTCCATCTCTCTCAATTCTCTCAATCACTTGTTTGCTCTCAAATTGCCTCATTCCATCTATTTTCTCCCCTCATTGATACAATGTTCCATTCTTCATTTTTCCCTTTATTTTTATTTCCATCTTAAGCTTGACTCAGATGTGATATAAACTTATTCCATTAATATTAATACGTAAATGTAGTGGAGTCCTGTAGTTTAGTGGTTAGAACACTCGCCTCGCAAGCGAGAGGACATGAGTTCGATTCCCGGGCAGAGCAAAACTTTGGGCAAGTTTCCTTACTCTGGACACCTTTGTTTACCGAGCAGTAAGTAGGAACCTGGTTGTTGGTCGATTGCTGGACCGCTTTTCCGGAGGTAATAAACCCTTCAAAAGAAAATGGTTAAAAATAAAAATAATTTGGTCACTCAATCCACAACTGTTTGTGGGACACTGCTGTGCGCAATTGGCTGCCACGTTTCGCCCACAAAATATGATCAATTTACAGTATATTCTGTGAAGCACTTTGAGACATCTCAAAAATGTGATAAGGCCCTATATCAAATGCAAGGATTATTATTAATATTGGCTCTGTGTATCCAATTGGGTGAGTAAAGTACATTCCAAACGGCTAGTGGAAAACATCTGACATGCCGACAAGTAATCTATTTTGTATTAAAACCGTAATGTTTCAGATCCTGAACGCACATGCCTTCAGTTTCTTTGCCAATTGCTCCTGCAGCTTTAACTTATGATTTCATGTTGTGAGTTGCAGGGTTAGCCTCGTGTGGAAACACTAGGGATGTACTGAAGCTAACGTTTAATGGAAATGAGGATTCTAAGTTATGCAAATAGGACCTTGTTTTATTTTTGGTCAGCCGCGTGCCTGACGCACAAGTAAACCCATCGCCGTCCTTAAGAGCATTTGAACGCGACAGAACATTCCACACATGTATGCCGCATACGCTCGGTAATTAGTAAATCTCTGACTGGAACGGAATGTGCGTTCTCTCTCCCTGGTGGGACGCACCCTCCTTACCCAATTCTAGACAGTATTAAGCTTAGGTTGACAAAAGCCAAGGCTTGGGGATTGCAGAGTGTGAATTAAGTTCCAGCTGCTGGAGTTTTACTAGCTAAACCCTCATGGTCTGTCATCAGCCATGCCCTGCAGTATTGCAGACCCTAATTCTTTAACTTAGTCTTAATTTGGGAGGCGCTTCTTTTTGAGAATTATTAATATTAGAATTATTAATTTGAATTATTATTTATTAGTTAATTAATGAGTATTAATTATTACTCGTGGAGTCCTGTAGCTCAGTGGTTAGAGCACTTGCTTTGCAAGCGAGAGACCTGAGTTCAATTCCAGGCAGAGGGCGAAACCTTGGGCAAGTTTCCTTACTCCACACAGAGCCTAATAATAATCCCTCCAAAACCAAAAACAATAATAAATTGGTCATTTGCAATCTACGACTGTTTGTGGGACATTGCTGTGCACAATTGGCTGCCGCGTTCGCCCACAAAATATACAGTCAATTCACTTTACAGTGTGTTCTGTGAAGCGCTTTGGGATGTCCTCCTGACGTGAAAAGCGCATATCAAATGCAAGGATTATTAATATTATTAGAATTATTAATAATAATCTTTGCACTTGTTATCGCGCCTTGTCTCAAAATACTTCTCAAGATATATTGTAAAGCGACTGTGTATTTGTGGACAAACATGGCAGCCAATTTGCGCACACCAATGTCCCACAAACAACCAGATTGATCAATATTACCTGGTGGATTGTCGGCCAGACACCGGGAAAGAAAAACTCCCTTCTCTTTTAGATTCACACCACTGGATCTTAAACACTCACCTGAACCAGGCAGACAGGACATCAGTTTAACATCTCATCTGAAGGATAGCACTTGCGACAATACCTCTCCCCCCAGCACTGAACGGGAGCATCAGCCCAGACCACGAGCTCAAAACCCTGGGAAGTGTGGAAAACCGGCTTCTCAATTCAAGATTCTGCCCCGGCTTTGCACAATCTTAAAATTTTGAGACAAGGAGTTCTTTACAGGTGAAACTTCAGACTTACCTGAGACATTGTGGGGAAGGGGGGGGGGGGGTGGGGTGAGGGGTGGGGGGGTGTGGGGGTGTGTGGGGAGAAGAATGTGCTGTGGACATCCTGTTATTGTGAATACCTGAGGGACATTGCACTGCAGCCTGAGCAGAGTCAAGTCAGCAGAGGAATGTGCTAAATGATTGTGGTTTTACTCTTACTAAATGCCTGCACTGTATAATTAAACAGGCGCCAAACACCATTGACACTTAGAAAAGCTTCTCTTCGCTCTGGGATTCAGCGTCAAACCTCTAAAATCCTCATCCTTCCCACGTGCTTTCGTTACATTTCACTTGTTTCGTTTCAAGTGCAGTTATTAACACCGAATGCAAGAATCCCCCCCAAAAAATACAAATGCCCATCATCGGAGTTTGTTTTTAAACCCCGGACTGATCCGCTGTTCTTTAAATGTAAAAGAAAAACTTTCAATTATTAAGATGTTGCTTTGAACTTGTCGAAGCAGATCAACTGATGATCCAGATGTGCTTCACCGGGGAGTGGATTCATTTCACTTGAAATCAACTCCTCGCTGAGTTCTTACAGCAATCCTTTAGAGTTAGTGTATTTGTGGTGGGGTTTATTATTATTTTTATTATTATTATTATTATTATTTTTCTCTCTTGGCCCCCATTCTGTGCTTTTATTCTCCAATGGGAAGGTGACGTTTCCAAGTGCAGTGACTGGTAAGTGGTTGTGAGTTAATCTTTAACTTGGGTGATGTGTGTGTGTGTGTTTTCCACACAGCACAAGTTCTGAATCTGTCCAACTTCACGTTGTAATCTGTTCCCCTGGTGTTTCATTAAGGTTTTGGTGAATTGATCTGTTACATGAACCATGGTACGATATATACACATGCATATGTATACAAATATGTATATATATATATACATTTAGAAGAATAGTAAATAAAACAACTGGATTGCAATCCCACGTGTGCTGATGTGAGCATCTCAATGCTTCTGATTTGAATTGAAAGAAATCAATTCAAAACAAGTCATGTCGATCTTGCACTGAGGGACAGAGTGGGGAACAGTCCCAAATGGTCTCAGATGTCAAGTCAAGTCAAACCCTTTCATGCAGAACACTTAAAGCTAAATTAATATTCTTTTCAGGAGGTCAGAAAGTGGGTGGAAAGTTGCTGCTGAAATCTCTTGCACCCCAACTCCACCACCACCACCACCACCACCACCAACCACCACCTTCTCTGTTTCTCTCTCTTTTCTTAAAAAAAAAGAAAAACCCTCCAAAAGAAAATCATAGCCCACACACCCACACACACACACATACAAAAAAAAAGGCTGAAACAGGAGCTTTTCCATGTAAACTCCTCCTCAAAAGCAGCAATCATTCAGCTCCTGCCTCCAGCTCAGTTTGGCCAATAAGCACAACGTGCGCTTTGCTGGTGCTGGTGCCTGTGCCTGTGCTCCAATAGGTAAATGCTGGAGCAAAGGGACAGAGGAGGGAGAGAGAAAGAGAGGAGAGAAGAGAAGAGAGAGGGTGAAGTTTGCTGAGATCTAAGGGAGTCAGACAGACAGACAGACAAGTGTGTGGTGTTATAGTGTGTGTGTGTGTCTGAAACTGACATCCACATTGCAAGCTGTTTGCCTGGAGAACACCAGCTCCTCCAGCACAAGGCAACAGCCTCCACCACCACCAGCTCCAGCACAAGGCAACAGCCTCCACCACCACCAGCTCCAGCACAAGGCAACAGCCTCCACCACCACCAGCTCCAGCACAAGGCAACAGCCTCCACCACCACCAGCTCCAGCACAAGGCAACAGCCTCCACCACCACCAGCTCCAGCACAAGGCAACAGCCTCCACCACCACCAGCTCCAGCACAAGGCACAAGCCATCACCAGCACAAGGCACAAGCAAGGATGTCCCTTTGCTGTGGCTTTACTCTGCTCCTCACTGCCCTGGTTGGCTCTGCCTCTGCCAGCCTCACTTGCCCAGCTCACTGCCACTGTGAAGAAGATGGTATCTTGCTGTGGGTGGACTGCTCAGAACTGGGGCTTGCGATTCTCCCTGAAAACCTCAGCCCCTTGACATCTTATCTGTAAGTGCACATATCTCTCTATATACTGTACATCTCTCCCTCTCTCTATGTATAATATTTTTTTTAAAAAAAAGTTGTGCAATTTGTTTGAAACTCTGTTCTCATTCGCCCAGAAACTTGCAATAATTATTAGTTCCCCCCCCCAGCATGTAACTATATTAAAAAAAGTTGTGCAATTTGTTTGAAACTTGTTCTCAGCTGCTGCAAAAACCTGCAGAGCCTATTTATTGATTTATTGATTTGTTGATTTATTTGTTTTATTTGTGTTGATTTATTTGTAAATTTATTTGTTTGTGGATTTACGTTTTTAAAATGATATTTCAGGTGGGAGTGGGGGGTGTGGGGTTGGGGTTGGAGTTCAATGTTGTCCCATTGGTGAAATTGACAACAGCAAATCAACTCACATGAAGACAGTGAGTGAGAGAGAGACTGTTGCATTTTCGTTTAGTTATTCTTCCTTGAAAAGCTTGACTTGTCACTTCCAACTGCAAATGACACACTCCAAGTCAGTCCTGAAAACTGCAGCTCCTCATATAATAATAATAATAATAATAATAATCCTTGCATTTGATATAGCGCCTTTCACGTCGGGAGGACGTCCCAAAGCGCTTCACAGAACACACTGTAAAGTGAATTGACTGTATATTTGTGGGCGAACGCGGCAGCCAATTGCGCACAGCAATGTCCCACAAAAACAGTCATAGATTGAAAATGACCAATTTATTATTGTTTTTGGTTTTGGAGGGATTATTATTAGGCTCTGTGTGGAGTAAGGAAACTTGCCCAAGGTTTCGCCCTCTGCCTGGAATTGAACTCAGGTCTCTCACTTGCAAAGCGAGTGCTCTAACCACCGAGCTACAGGACTAGGGAAAGAGGTGCATTTTGATGTGCCCCCCTCTCTCTCTCTCTCTCTCTCTCTTCTCCCCTTCCCTCTCTCTTTCTCCCTCTCTCTCTCTCTCCCAAACTCATCCACACAAAACGGCAGGTGCATTGTACGTGTTAAGCATCGAAAATACCTTGAACCGAATCAAATGCGAATCTGGATTGTTTCTGATCGCAGTGCGAGTTACAATCGATAACATCAGATCCATCAGATAAGGAAAACGTATGCCTTATTTTTGAGCGGCTAGTTATCCGATATCATCTCAGACATTGATGCAATAACTGTATCTGATGTGTAAGGCTGGTTATCATCTAAATATATATATGTATATAAATATATTTATAAATATATATATATTTATTGATTGGATAATATTCGGTGTCTGTATTTTTTTGCTTGCTTTGAAGCCAGGGTCAATAACTGGGCAGAAATAACTGTCTAAAAGAAGGGTCAGACACAAACACGCACACACACGCTCTCTCACCTGGTGAAAGGAGAAGTTATCGGGTTTTAACACTTCACCTCCTGCCTGGCAGTTGCCACTAACGCTAAGGGGATGTGCTTAACCCTTACTTTAGCTGTGGTTTATCACTCAAACCGCACAAGAGATCTCATCTTGTGTGCACACATCTCCTCTTGTGTTCTGGGACCCCAACAGTTTTACTGTGTTTATATATATATATATATATCTTAAAAAAATTGAATTTACTATTTCGCTGTCCTGGAGCTCAAGTGACTGACTGCTGCTAAAATAGTTTCCAAAAGTAATTACTTGCTTCCGTCGGTTGCTTAAAAGAGAGAGGGAGAGCGCGGAGAAGGAAACAATTTCCGCCCTGTGCTTAGAATTTTAAATAGCTGAAACTTTATATGAAAGGCAAACAGGCTGCAACAACACAGAGGCGTGCTCAGAAAGGCATTGGCACGTCCAAAAAGGCTTTATAAATTACCTTTAATGCTGCACCTGCTAGGGATGTGAATCCAGCTCTCTGCATTACTTACAAACCCCAGGTTTGCAAGTCGTCAGATAGTTCAAACAGCACTGTTGAACTGGCTAATGCTTTGCAATCTCGTTGTGCGCTCACGTGGTTCAATTCGCTTTGCAGAGAAGCATTGTTGAAATCGATATGCCCAGAGCCATCACTTTATAATAATAATAATAACCCTTGCATTTGATATAGCACTTTTCATGTCTTCGAGACGTCTCAAAGCGCTTCACTGAATAGACTGTAAAGTGAATTGACTGTATATTTTGTGGGCGAAACGCGGCAGCCAATTGCGCACAGCAATGTTCCACAAACAGTCGTGGATTGAAGTGACCAATTTATTACTGTTTTTTTTTCTTGAGGGATTATCAGGCGTGTGGAATAAGAAAACTTGCCCAAGGTTAATTATTAAATCATTTTCATAACTGTATTGAAATGATACCTAAGAGATCTTAACATCAACGCTCGCTTACAAATCCTGACATTTGACACTTCGGGACAGACGTCTCAAAACGCTTCTCAGGATTTGCAGTGAAGTGTGGTGACTGTGTATTTTGTAGGCGGGCTTGTATTTTATTTGAATGCAGATATCTAGTGGGTTTACAGTGATCCGTGTATTGTGAAGAGCTCCTTTTGGCGCTAATTTCAGGTGTCCTATGAACAGGTGAGGGAATTATCTGTAGGTTAGTAAGGGTAAATCTTTAAACTATAAATTGCACATAATTTTGGTTGGAAGCATAAATAACGTTAAATATACAGTCAATTCACTTTACGGTATATTCTGTGAAGCGCTTTGAAACGTCTCGTAGACATGATAAGGCGCTATATCAAATGCAAGGATTCTTATTATTACCTAAAGCGAATGGAGAATAATGTAAGCCAACGGAAGTTCAAACAAACACCCTTCACCATGACATCCAACGCTGACGAGTTCTCACCTTCAGTAACAACAACATGCATTTATACAGCACTCTTCACATAGGATGATGTCTCAGAGCTCTCTGCAGTGGTGAAGTTGGTCGCCGAGCAAGGGAGAAGGGGGAGATGATAGATAGTCAGGTGATGGAAACCTGACTTATTTAATAATGCATTCAATTGCTTTCATTAAATATATTTGAAACTGCATTTTCTTTTAATCAGAGTAAATTGAACTAAAATTAATCCCCCCCCCACACACACACACACTTGGGCCAGCCTGGAGGAAGAGTGTACTAGGTATAAGAAAATATACATATGAGGTATATAGGCAGCCACATTCGCCTACACAATACAGTGTCACTACACATTACGGAAAACTGCAAATGCCTTGAGATGTTTCAACGCGATATTGCCCTGTATCAAATACAAGGCTTGTGAAGGAGCACAAGTAGATAAATATGGGGAACCAAAGTTTCCTTTGGCTGGGGAATCACTGGCAAGGACTCTCAGGATTGTTGAGCAGAAGTATTGGTGTGGAATAAAGGAATTCCTTCACTCAGAGAGGAGATAGCATTTGGGATTTGTTGCCACGAGTGGCTATTGATGTTGGATTAATAGTCATTCAAAAAGGAACTGGATAATAAAACAAAACATTAAGGAATATGGAGGGAAAAGCTGGAAAGTGAAATTCATTAGAAAAAGGTGATGTAAAAACAGAGTTACCAGTGGCACAGTCACAGACACGTTCAGTGGAACGTCCTCCTCCATGCAATGAAATTTGTACATTAAACAGGGGTTCAAATGCTCGATTTATATTCTGATTACATGCTACGCTACACCTGAGTTGCCTGCTTAATGCAACAAACAAAATATCATAAACCCTGGACTGGGCAGCCCCGCCGAAGTCCTGTCAGGAAACCATTAAGCTAAAACGAAGGATAAAAAGAACAATGTTCCAATTAATCACCCAAACGCCACCTCCTCTCATTGCTCTGACCGACTCTGCGTAATGTATAGTTTGGAATCTCTTTGGTTCAGATCCACGGAGCTTGCTCACAATGCCCCAGGAGCTTAGAACTACTACCGTTTGTGTTTACACTTCTTCTTAAAAAGTTGCTTTTATATTTTAAAAGAATGTGAGCTCCCTGTGATTTATATCAGGAGTGTACTTTTACTGTTATGTTTTCTTTTTACACGGAGGCGTATAAATCAGCCAGGGGAAGGGAGGGTGGGCGGGAGTCGGGGGAAGAGAAAAAAAAATTGTTTGAGTGGTTGCCTGTGAAGATCTATGCCTGTAATTTACACTTGAAGATTTCCTTTGAAATGACTGGAAATTTGCAGACATCAGTGAAGCTGTATGAGGTACCACACGCACAGTGTCAATCAACAGCCACAGCTTCAGGCACTGGCACATTCTGTCTCACCTGTGTTTTGAAACTACAACTTTGTAAACAACATCAAACTTCCAGGCTTTTAGGCTTTGACTCCGAGCTTATCATTTAAAGCTTTGGTTCCACTTCACAAGTTCCCTCCGTTCTTTGCACACAGTGCTTTTCACAAAGCGATTCTACCAGTGGTCAGACCTCTGATCTTTTGTTAGACCTACTTCTAACCTTTGTTGGAACAAGGTATAGTTCTCTCTGCCTTGTTTTCGCCATCACTAACAAAAACGACAACAACATGCATTTATGCAGCGCTCTTTACACAGGATAATGTCTCAGAGCTCTCTACAGTGGAGGGAGAAGGTAACAGAAGTGATAAACAGTCAAGTGGTGGGGACCTGACTTATTAAATAATTCATTCAAATGCTGTCATTAAAAGTAATCAAATTGCAACTGCATTTTACTTTAAGCAAAGTAAATTCAACTAAACTTAACTCCAAACCTCTTCCGTTTACAAACGCGCAGCGATATTCTTATTATCTTAAATTATTCTTGTAAAAGTTCAATTTCCGTTCGTTAAAAGTGGATGAATTTACTAAGTTGGAAAATATTCTCAGCCGCAGTGTTGTGTGAGTTTGGTGAGTGCCAAAGAGCTGGCGTACTTGAGTGCGTGTCTGTTGCAACATTTGCAAATCAGATTCCTTGCCCCCCTCCATCCCAACCCACCTCCACCCCGCACCTGATCAGATCTTTTGATGTATCAGAATTTTGTGCAGTCCATCATAAGTTGTCTCTCAGTGGCACGCTTTGCTTTCTATTTATAACCCGGGGATG